GACATTTCAATTAGTTGAATGTTTTATTATTTAAGTATTTGTGATTATTAAAAGTGAGAATTTGTTAAGTTTGATTATTGTGTTTTTTTTACAGGTTTTTTTAAACGGGATAAAATTTTATATAGAGTTTCTATATAGAGAAAACTCTGCCAAGATTTTGTTAAAACTATGAAATTTTAAACTCTCTAAAATTATTAACTAAATTAAATATCACATTAACAAAGTAAATAATAAATATCTTAAAAAACATTTTCTAGTTAGATGTAGATGGGTAATAGTCTCATTATCAATTTTCTAGCTTATCTAATTGGCCAATTAATCTAGTTATGTAAATTAATCGACTAATTCACATAAAAACTATAATTTTTTAATTTTTTAATATATTTTATGAATTAAAATATATATCTCTATCCTACTTGTAGATTAAAAATTATACTCCCATTAAAATTTAAAAATTTTATTATTTATATAGCAACTTATCTTTGTTTTTCAATGTTAAATGTTAAAATATTTTAACTGACTATTATGAATTGATTGGCTAGTTCATCTTTAGTAATGGTATTGAAATTTAATTGGTGTGGCGGTTTAGATATATTTAATTAAATATTGCATTTTTTACCATGATTTTTTGTTGTTGTGTCAATTCAACTTTTTTGTTTTTTCATTTTGTATATTAATTTCCCAAATTTATCCTTGCAATCGTTGATGTCTCACCATTAAAAAAAAAAAAAAGGTTTTGGTTAAACATGCCCAAATTTACCCTTGCAATCGTTGATGTCTCGCCATTAAAAAAAAAAAAAAAAAGGTTTTGGTTAAACATGTATGTTTTCATTTATTTGGTACATAGAATAAACTTGAACTTGGTTAGAAAATTTATCTGTTTCTTGAGAAAAATAAATTAAAACATCTCTGTAGCTATAACCTTTGTCCATTTCTGTGGATGATGTACCTCACGAATCCTGAATCTGATCCCCGCCCAATCGAATTTTTGGAAACATCCACTATTTTATGCGGCTCTTTCAAGAAATAAAAAACACGTGGAGATTTCGAAACACTTTCCCACGTGTAAGATCAACCTGAGGGAAAATCATCGAGTATCGAGCCTTCTGTCCACTTTTTATTTTATTTTTCTCTTTTCCCATTATTATAGTAACGGGCCAACACGAAGGGTGCGCAGGTGCTCAAGAAAAATTAAAGAAAACAGTAGGCGTACTTTTAAAAACTATATTTCCGTTTGGGGACGGAAACTTCGTGTAAATTAACTTAAATCCCAAAAAGACGAGACAGCACTTTCAAAGAATATCTATCTACTTTACTTTACAAAAGAAGAAATTGACTTAAATAAATCTGTCGATAATACAGCCATGTTTGATCTTCTAGCTACTGGATAAAAGAGGCAAAATAACTATCAGTAGAAGGCAAAATCAAGCAAGGGACTTGACAACAAATTACAGCGATGAATCCATGTGAATAATTGAGATTATATAAGAGAGAGAGACAAGGTAATTAGTATGTACGTGCCTTTCTAGCTCTCTGTGGTACCAAATACATGGTGAACATAGGGTGGTTATAAGAGCCCTCCATAATGCAGATAATGAACATTACCAGAGACTTTACGAGGAGAAACTACAGTGGCTAAGGCGCCTCATCCAGCATAATTTGCACGATTTACCCTATCAGCTCCGAATAATTGCATGAACTATATAATGGCAATAAAATTATTGCGCTGCCCTCGAATAATGCTGCAGGGGCATCAAATATAGAGGACCACGTCAAATTATGAATCTTTTTCAAAAACCAAGATGACTCGGACTCCCATTATTCATTTAGTTTAACTAGTCTAGTTTTGATCTTGATTATAAAAATATCACTCGATTAATAATTTGTGAGTTAATCAAAACTAGATTTTTATTTGGATATTTGATGATTTTGCTCGAAGGAGAATGCCATTAACTATTAATGATTTATTTAAGTTCATAATTAAATACGGTTAAGAACATAACATTGTCATAAATTCTCGAACGGAAAACATTTAAAGCATTACCCTCTAGCATGAGCAAAGAGTCGTATACAGAATTGTAGCTACACTAGTTGCATTAAAGTTCGAGAAATTAAGTGTAGTTTATAGCGCACCAAAAATAACTAAGTGATTATTTGGCCGTAGTTGACCTTACTCCATTTATCTAATGATATTTTGTTTCAAAATTGTATTTTTTTTCTCTCATCTTATATTCTTCTTTCTTTTCTCATTCTATTCTTTCAAAACAAGAATACAAAATAAGTTAAAAATGGATTTGAAAATATATAAAAATTAAATGTATACTTTGTGAGATTGGATTAATTAATTATTTTTTTTCTAATTAATTCAAGCTTAAATCACCACCCGATAAAAAATTCAACAACCTTTTCTCTTTAAACTTCTCCCATCTTTTGTCTTATTCTGTGAAAATACAAAATGACTTGTTAAAATACTATTTTTTAATTAAAGTGTCACATGGGGAAAAAAATAAATTATACTATTTAAAATACTATATTTATAATTTTACTCTTTCAAATGGCGTTTGTAATATGCTTAAAAGACTAAAAAAAAAAAAAAACAGGCTAGCAATATTCTAAGAGGAACCTACCTACTGCTAGAGGTCCCGTGTCTAGGGCGCTTTCAAATGCCTCCCCTAATCTTTGACGGTCCGAATTGTACGATAAAAAAGCCACGTATGCATTAAACAGTTGACCGAAGTCACTGGTTGACGTTACTAGTAGCTTCTCGACGATTCATTATCATAATCAAAGCACTTGCCTTGTGGGTTCCACACAAATCTAATCCTTCCACATCAAACCTTAATACAGACAATCTTCAACGAATCATAAAAAAGGGAATTGAAGCCAACTTGAGCTAAACTACTTGTTACTCTAGCTAGGTCTTTGTTACATCCGAACCCTCCAAACCCGAATTGGCAACTGGGATATTTTCCTTAAAAGTTGAAACTCTAGGTTAGTGCAGCCAAACCGTCTTTGCTTGCTCCTCGTCAAACTCGAAGGACACCATCTAAATAATTACGATGGCAATCAGGCATGGTAATTAACCAGAATCGGGCCAGAAATTGGTTTTTTTTTTATTTATTATTAAGCTAAAAACTAAGCAATCCGTTTTAAATTATTATTAAGCTAAAAACTAAGCAATCCGTCTGTCTCTTGAACTAGTTGTCTTAAATTGAACGATTCTGTCTTTGTACGGGTCAAAAAAATGATAATAGTAGTTGTAATTTGCGATCTTACGCAGCTGATGAGATGACAGTCGAGAGAGGTGCTTTGACCGTGCACGGAAAATATGTAAAAACTTGCCACGAAGAAAACTAATTCAATTAACTATTATTCAAGAAATTGTTGAGACAAAAACAAGGATTGGCGAGCTAAAACACAGCGCGCAGACTTGATCAGGTTGTTTTTTATAATATTTTTTATTTAAAAAATATTAAAAAAATTATTTTTGATATTAATATATTAAAATAATATAAAGCACAAAACAATATTAATTTAAAATAAAAATAAAAATTTTATTTTTTTTAAATATATTTAAAATATAAAAATAATTATAACGGTAATAACCCAATATTAGATATTTAAGTGTACGAATATATAGGTAAGCTTGGAAGAAATTATAATTAAAATGGTGTTTGAAATAATTATAGTGATTATTTTTTATAGTGTTTTTTTATATATTTTAAAATAAAAAAATTATTTTTAATAATCCTATAAAGCCAATGGAATCACTAGAAGAGCACAACTTGTCTGCAATCCGATTGACCTCAATTTTATTGTGTTTGCTTTCGTTCTTGACAAAATGAAAGCAGTCATTTACAAGTCTCAGCCGAGATTTCAACCTCTTCCACATCTCCAACTTTTACTACTACTTTAATTCACCCAACATAAAAAGGAAAGAAAAAAAAATTCTTACGACTAGAAACTACTCGGGAACCAGCATCTTTTTTGAGACATTTGTTAAACTTATATGTTTTTATTAATTTTATTTCTTAATAAAAAATTATTTTTATTTTTTGTTTTAATTTTTATCTTATTCTTTTAATTTTTTATTTTTTAACCTCAATTATTATTTTAATTTTTAATTTTTTTATCTTTTTTATTAAATTGTTTTTTCTTTTTAATTTTATTTTTTTAATATTTTTATATTATTATTTTTTTTTAATTTTATCCTTCAATATTTGATTAATTAAAAATTAAGTTTCAAAATTTTTACAAGTAAGATGCTTATATTCTAATGATATTTTTTTTAAATGAGTTTTGTAATTTTTTTATTTTTTTATTTAATTATCCTAATATTATAATATAATCTACGTGTTTAGTGAGATAATTTAAATTCGTTTAACCTTGATTATTAGAGTTATAGGTTTTTTATATTAATTTACATTGACCACGCATAATTTTTTTAGAGTTTTATTTATTTAATTTTATCTTTTTATATTTAATAGATTAAGAATTAAGTTTTGTTATTTATTATTTTTTAAAAAAAATAGGTTATCATAAGTGTCGCTACACGACGCTTAAAAAATAAGTTATCATAAGTTTTTTTAATTTATACCATTTATTATTGTTATATCTATCGTCTATTTAAAATAAAATTAACTTCTTTAAATAAGTTAAATCTATTTCTTGAATCACGAGAAAAAAAATAGTCGCCGCATGACGAAGGTCCAAAACTAGCCATGAGGTATTCCTAGATTAATATCAAAGCCCAATTGTTTAAGCAGCAAGTCGGTTATCGGAAGTCAATTTGGACACGCTCCGTCTTTCTTATCTAATCTAAACATCACCGTCATGTTGTTCTAGTTTGCAAGGCCTTGTCCATGGCTCCATGGAAACTTCAATTTACCAGTCAAATCTACAGTGTGAACGTATATTATTCGATTCTGTATTTAATTTTTGGTACCACGCCTCTTTAAAAGAAAACAAAAGGTTACAAAATTTACAAGACAAAAACGTTTTTACTAAAACCCCTCACAAAAAAAAAAAACTTCATATTTATCATAAAGTTGTGCTCTAGTTCTGAGGATGATGCAGAAAGATTGTAGCACTGTTTCAATGGCGGCGGATCAAATTTGAATTCTCTCCATATATAACCCCCTCCCTTCACTATAACTTCAGAAAAGGTTCTTCTGCAATTTGACAAAAAAACCCAAAAAAGAAAAGAAAAAATAAAGTTGGCTTGTTATTTGTACCCTGCTTTTTCATTCAAGTTACATGTGCGTATTGAAGGTGGCGAACCCAAGAGGCAACTCAGGGGAGTACAGCAGGTACCCTTACACAGATAGCGATGATAACCAGGAAGAGATATCGTTCACAGCACAACAAATATTTTCTGAATTGAACCAACCAATACAGCGGCATGTGGAGGTAACTCAATCACCACATATGTTCATGGGGTGTAGCAGTTCAACAGAGATGTCTGCAATGGTATCAGCACTTACACATGTGGTCTCAGGCCACAGAGGAAGTACTAGCGATTGGGGATCATGTGGAGCCTCAGGTCTAGGAGGGGCAACAATAACGTCGACTTTTGCTCAGGCAGCCCCTGGTTCTAACACTTCTCCCGCTTCTCCATCTTTGTCTGCATATTCCTCTACTTCTGGTTCTGGTTCCTGGATTGGCCAGAAGAGAGGGAGAGAAAAGGAAGCCGGTGCAGCAGCTCAATTGAAGGAGTCTCTGCCAACGGTTCACAGAGGGTTTTATGATTTTAGAAGTTCACTGGGTGATTCGTCGTCGTCTGGTGCAACTGGTAAGTTTAATCATCAATCCTGAATCAATTTTTATCCTATGCCATTCTTCTCTCGATTGTGTTCAAAACTCCATTATTTTATTTGAATTATGTTACTTGTCCACCAAGATTTTTTAGTCAATAATTCATATTCAATATGTTTTTGATCCTGTATGGTGTTGATTGATTAGATTTTTATAACAATTTATATTGGGAAGTCCTTTTTCTTACAACTGCTCTTCTAGAAATTACTAAATATCTAAATAATATCTTTTTTTTAATAATAAATATCTAAATATTATCTAATATACCTTTTATTGCATGTATTAATTTGAAGGTTTTGTTGTCAACTTCCCTCAAAGTCCTTGATTTTGTCAGCTTTAGAAAAAACATAATTTGCTGTCATCTAGAAAAGATCAACTCATCGAATAACAAAAACAAGGCGTCATGGTCTTGGTAGAGAATTTGGCACCTCAACCACTTGGCTTTAAAGCAATAATATTACACACAAACTCCATAAGAAAATTGCTTTAGTCGATAAGCTTTCTATGCTTTTATCATTTGCAGCAACTGAAGAAGTTTCTGCTTCAACTCTAATATTCCCCACTACAGCCACACCCTCCTCCAAAGCAACACCATCAAGTGAAACAGCATCTTTGGGAGAAACAGGAGAGCGAAAGAGAAGATACAGAGGAGTTAGGCAAAGGCCATGGGGCAAATGGGCAGCAGAGATACGTGATCCACACAAGGCAGCAAGAGTCTGGCTAGGCACATTTGAAACTGCAGAAGCTGCAGCTAGAGCCTATGATGAGGCTGCTTTAAGATTCAGAGGAAGTAGAGCTAAACTTAACTTCCCTGAAAATGCTAGGCTACTGCCAGCTCAAATGCAAAATGTTACTGCTTCTCAAGTTCCCGTTTCTATTTCACAATTACCTTCTCATCACCAGTTACAGTCAATCTCATCTCCAAGGCAACAAGCACAGCGGCCGCAGGTGCCAGCACCTGCATTGTTTCAGTCTCAACCTCATATTATAAGAGACTACTGGGAGTACTCCCAGTTGTTGCAGAGTTCTGGGGACTTTCATGGACAACAACAACAACAACAACCACCACCTTCAAATTTGTTAGATCAGATGTTTTATAATCCCCAGCTGGCCTCTCTACAATCATCAACTCTGTCTGCATTCTCTTCATTACCTTCATCTACTTCAGGTTCTTCATTTGCAGCAATACCTTCTGGTTCGATATCATCAACACCATCTCCATCTGCTTCTTCATATCCTCTGTTTTTTTCTGGTCAACAGTTGGGTTATTTTCGGCCACCAGAAAATCAGAATCCAGCTGCTGGTTTAGATTTTCCGGTGCCCCCATGGACAGATTCTAGTCGCCGTCCTTCCTCCACTGATTAAAAACTGATACCGCAATTTATTTTGTTGCTTTTGTTTCCCCCCACCCCCCACCCCCCCTTTTTTTTTTTTGGAAATTTAGAGATATCTTATTTTGTTATTGATTAGTTATATATATCAATTATTTGCATCTTAATTTGTTTCTTTTGATTGTTCTAGTCAATATATCTAACTCGGTCAGAAAGATAACGATGGTGATTAGATCTTATTTATCCTTTCTCCTTCTTGCTCTCTTGGCTTTTATAAAAGGGCAGAACAATAGTGGAAATCATTAAGAATTCAATTTATTTAAATTCAAGAATTGACCCAGTGCGAGTTAATCTACGGTGAATTAATTCAGATTTATCGAGTATATATAAACACTGATATTATTTTGGATAATAAAAAAAACTAAAAGAAAACTTTTTAAAATAAAAAAATAGTTCACTAAGCCAATTGAATTTAAATAAATCACATGTAAATATACTACAAGGCCAGGTTTGATGAAGCTGCTTTCTTTTTCTGTAAGCACGCGTGTGCTTATGTTAGTGATGATGATTCCATTTGGTCGTGTGATGGGATAAAAGATTAGTAAACATGCTCGTCGCTTTCTTTCTTTAATTTTTAATCCACCGAAGTCCAATGTGCTTTGGGCCATTGACAGATCAGTCGTTCTTGTTCTTGTTCTGTACTGCTTCTTCAAGTTTGATCTGGAGACTTCGATGAAGATATTAGAGGCTTGTTCTGCACCATTTATGTTTCAGGTTCTATTTTATTTTATTTTTTGTTTAAAAAATATGAGAAATAGACCACTTTTTTCTATACCCAACAGAGTATTTTTTTTTATTTTTTTATTAAAATAAACGAAAACGGGAAAAGAAATCTAAATTGTAGCGTCGGAGCAAGCCTCATGGAAAATACAAGGATGTCTTTTGAACCAGGTTTTTAAGCAATATTCTCTCTTACACATCTAAAATTCCAACTAAAAGTGCTTTTCCAATCACATCTGAGGAACATGTGTCCTGTTGTTATTGGTATGCCGGAAACCATGTGTTTTCGGAAGACAAAAAAACGTGCTAAATATTTTGATGATTCGTCGGTTCAAAGTTCAAGCGCCTGTTTTTTGGTTGTTCCTTCAGTATTTTCTAACAATGCTCACCTACAACGTGTTATGTTCATGCCGCCCCCACAACTGGCGTGAGGATCTTTATAGCAACAAAGCCATAAAATATACAACCTTAAAACATTGTTTTTTTTTTTCTTTACATATATAAATAAATAATAGTGTTAGAACAACTTACCATAAAACAAGTAACCCTTCATAGTTTTTTATACCATAAAACAAGCAACTGTTGCGTTCAACTATGTTATCGTATATCGTGAGGTTTGCACTTATAGTCATTTTTATAATAATTTATTAGAGTAGAGTTGTGATTGTTTTTAAAAATATTTTTTATTTAAAAAAATATGTTAATAATATTTTTTATTTTTATGAAATTATTTTTAAAATTAACACATCAAAATAATTTAAAAATATATTAATTTAAAACAAAAAAAATTATTTTTTTTAAAATGTTTTCCTAACACATTGCCAAACACCCTTGTTTGTATATTTTTATATTTTTTATTTATTTTAAATTAATTTTTTTAATATTTTTAAATTATTTTGATGTATTAGTATTAAAAATAAAATTTTAGAAATAAATAAATATTATTTTAATATATTTATAAAAAAAATAAAACTTTAAAAGGCTCCAAGGGTACTTGGTACAAAAAGTTATTTGGACAGTTAAAAAGCTTTTTATGTTTTTTAAAAAATAAGATGTAATTTTTTTTAAAAAAAAATTACTTGATGTATGAATTAATAATTTAAAAATACTATTGGTTGCCGCAATCACAAATTTACCAATACGAATTCTCTTCGCTGACTTGAAAAGGCAGGAAGAAACTTGTGTCGTTGTCCTATTTACAAAACATGAATTTCTATCCTTCATCCTTTAAAAAATAAGATAGTAATGAGTTTCCTATACAAACCAAAAAAAAAAAATATATTATTATACAGAAATGATAAAATTTTTAAGAGTTCTTACTAGAACAAGTAATCGTGATAAATCTGTAATTTTTTGGCTTTTTACAAAACATAATTTCGTTTAGATATTTTTTATCTTTGAACTTGAAATATTTACAAATTTATATTTGGTTTATTTATAACTATTTTTTTTATTCTTATCTTCATTCTTCTTTTTTTTTTAGTTTTTTCCATTTGTTCTTTACATTTTTAAAAAAAATATTTTTTTTTATTTTTTATGCTTGAAATATTTACCACTCTACACCTTGTCTATTAACATCATTCTTTTTTGTTCTTATCTTTATTTTTTTATATTTTATTTTTTATTTTTTCTTTACATTTTTATTTTGAAAAATTATTATACAAGGACTAAAATAAAATAATATTTCACTATAACAATTGTAACATTATCTCGTTTTCCAACTATGTTAAAAATTAACTTTTACATGTATTTATTAATGCAAGTAATCTTTTTCATTTTATTTTATTATAAGTAAGTATTGGCTCTTTTATTAACAAACTATATTTTTTTAATTGATATGAAAAAACATCTTAACAAAACTTATATATTTATTTATTTATATTTAAAAAAATATTCAATTTCCAATGAGATGAGTAAAAAAAATGCAATAATATTTTTTTTGTATTTATTATAACATGTGATTATTGATTTATTTAATTAAATATATATATTGTTTTCAATTTTTTATTATGATTTTTTTGTTAAAAAAAAATGTTGAAAGAGCTTGTATATTAATTTTGTTTTCAAAAAAATATATCATGCTGATCAAATAGCTAGGATTCAAATAAAACATCTAATTTATTAAAAAAATTATTACATTATATTTTACTAATTTGATTTATAACCGGAATAGTTCATTTACTTGTTATTGAAGCTTACGTCTCAAAACATTTTTATCGTAGGCAGTCGCTTTCTCCTGTCTAGAATGTCCCTTTATTCTAAATGGACGGGATCATCAAGCACGTAGCTAGACACGTGACAGGAGATCAAGGATCAGGTCAGAACTTTACGTGTAACACGACAAGTATTGGAAGTGACACGTTAATATATAATCATAAGATTGCAATCAAATCAACTTCCACAGTGATGCGTGAAGGAGAGGAGTGGACGTGTACAGCTTGGTCACCATGAATATCTGGATAAATTGTGCAATGAACACACAAAACTAAAATAAAATGTGAATTAATACAGTAGCAAAACAAACTTTTTTTGTGGGTAAAATGATATATTTTTGCATGTTTTTATTGAGAACAGTAACATTTAAATAATATTGCATTTTATATCTGGATATTTAAATTAATACTGTGGTTAAAAAACACAATAAAATTTTAATAATTTTGCCTTTACAACCATAATATCAATTACATTTTTATGTACAAGTTTTTTTTAAAAAAATCCACAATTGTGAGGACGCGACACGTAACTACCACGTGGTTAAGTCATATTCTACGCAGCGGCAATAAATCAAAGAAAATAATGACCCTTTTAGCTTCTTGTCTCGTTTTCACTTCCCTATTTGCAGCCAAAGTATGACTTCCAAGCCAACCACAAAACAGCAAGTTGAAGATGTTGTAGAGAGAGAAGACCATAAGGTCATTTTTGTCGAGACATACGATGAAAATGGTCACCACAACACTAAAGACTTAACATCAACGACAAGATGTTGCAGGTGTCAAGTCTAAATCACCTGGCTTGGTTGAGAAAGCAAAAGAGAAGACGAAAGAAGCAAATGATCATGCTCGTCCAAATATTGGCGAAGGCATTTCTCATGGTTCTGAGGGTGAGAAACACTACCCTTGAGAGCTTCTCTGTGATGTGCTTGGCAAATGTACACACATGATCATGGCTAAATTAAGTTCTACGTACATTAGGCCACAAACAAGGTTTCTGAGGTTATTATATATGATGTGGTGGATAAGAAGAAAGAAATGGATCATGAGATCAAGAGGAGTTAGTGAAAGGTTTATACTGGAAACAGAAAGAGATGGTTCATGGGACAGACAAAGTCGAGGATATGGCTCAATGTGAATCTAGATATTAATTAATAGAGTTCATACTTTATAAAACCTAGCAAGATGATAAAAAAAAATAAAAATGAAAATGAAACATCCATCACTTCCATTGCAGAGACCAGGGTCGCCAGATTTAAGCCCTTAGTATGGACAGTAGAAATTGAAGCCCAGCCACCATGACGCTATGACACTGGCACATACTATAATCGCTCGAAGTAATTACAAGTGCATTACCATCATAAATATATATTTTTTTTTGATCTGTCGGATAGTATGTAATTACTGTTTAGTCACCCAGCTAATTTCTTAAACATTGGTTAAGAAAAATCTCTAGATTAGCATTGGAAAAGAATCAGTTCTGAAAGTTTTCTACTATATATGAAAGCTCATACGTATTCTTTTGTTCTTCTCGTGTATAAGAATGCATAGTTTTTCTCAAATGAGATCAAAGCCCAGAGCGAGCAAACTAGGTGCGTACAAAAGACATTAATATTGTCCTCAAAGTCTTGAAATGAGGAATTAATTTTGAAGATTTTCCAGGGTTAGTGCGGCCGCGTTAGCAACAGCATAGAAATTCTTCCAGTTCTTAATTGCAGCAGGAATTGATTTAATGTTAACCTCATCCATCGACAATTTAGTCTCACAGCTTCGAGCATCATCAAGAGCATAATTCACATCCATGGTTGCAAAATCACCTTCTAGCACCTTGAGGTTCATAAGTCCTGAAGCCTTCTTAAAATCAGACGCACATTCCTTGAGGGCTGGCTTAAAAGCAGGCACCGTGCCTTTGCCATTGGCCAATCCATCAAAGAACTTGCTTGTCTTCATGGATTCTTTTCTTACTATGTCCAGGGCATTCACAACTATGCCCTTTGTATTAGGAGCCAACAATGTCAGAGGATTGGACATGAGAACTCTCACGCAGAACGCATAGTTCTGGCTTGTCTTGCAAACCTGACTCAGTAATTTCGGACATTTGGCTGGAGACTTGAGACCTCTGGCCTCGGTTTGAGAAGGG